CCCCCTCGAGATTGTCAAGATTCGGCTTCAGATCCAGGGTGAGGTCGCCAAGACGATGGAGGGCACACCGAAGAGGTCCGCCATGTGGATCGTGCGCAACCTCGGTCTCGTGGGTCTATACAAGGGCGCCTCGGCCTGTCTGTTACGTGACGTGCCCTTCTCGGCCATTTACTTCCCGACGTACAGCCACCTGAAGAAGGACATGTTCGGAGAGTCGCCCACCAAGAAGCTTGGTGTATTGCAGCTGCTGACGGCGGGCGCCATCGCCGGTATGCCCGCTGCGTACCTGACGACGCCGTGCGACGTCATCAAGACACGTCTCCAGGTCGAGGCGCGCAAGGGCGAGGCCAGCTACACCGGTCTGCGACACGCTGCCTCGACCATCTGGAAGGAGGAGGGCTTCAGGGCCTTTTTCAAGGGTGGCCCGGCGCGTATCTTCCGCTCTTCGCCCCAGTTCGGCTTCACGCTGGCCGCGTACGAAGTCCTGCAGACCTCGCTGCCGTACCCTGGCAAAACGGAATCGCTCAAGATCACGACGGGCGTCGCAGATGCCGTGTCGACGTTGAAGGAGAAGCTCGATACGAGCCCCTACTCGCGCAGTCGCAACGCGCTCAAGATTATCCTCGACATTGACGAGGACTTTGGCAAGATCAAGATGCCGAGCGCGCAGACATGGAAGACGCTGCCGGCGGTCATGCAGTCCGGAGCTGGCAAGTCATGAGCGGCATCACGGATTGCCCCCCCCCCCACCCCCCATGAAGCTCCGCAGTGCCTTCTTTTCCGGTCGTATTTGCATGACGTAGTATCGCGCGGTGCAGCATTCATGGCATGTAGTTGAACAGGTTGTCTGTCGAGGAGACGGTGGACTGGGCGGTTAGAGATGGGTTGACGGGGACTCGACGGGCAGTGCTCGGGGATTTCTCGGCTACTGCCACCCCCTCCCAAAGGGTCGCCGTCGTTCTTTTTTTTGGTTTCTTTACAGGCGTTACGGCAGCATATGCGAATTCTCGTGGGTTTTCTTACATGTTTGTTTCTTTCATGTCGCCGTTGTTCCACTTGACGGGAGGGGTAGACTTGAGTCTGCGCCGCGGCCAGCCGTTCCTTCGCAAGACTGCTTTTTCTACCTATAGAACAACGCGCTACGACGTGGGCAGGCGGGCCATGCCGGCAAAAGAAGTGATAGACTTCACATGAGGGGGCTGCTCCTTGGGATCGGGACGCTTGTCCTGGGTGCATGCTGTCCCTGAAGAGCCATATTAGATAGCCTAGCCGGTGTTGTTGCAATTGGGCAATTGGCTAAAGAGATGATTCTTACGACTCTATGACCTCCAATTATCATTATTGCTCTTGCCAGTTCAGCGCAACATGGCTTTCCCCCCCCCCCCCGTGGTCGCATCCGCTGGCGGCAATGGAGCCGACAGAACTCAGAAGCTGGCGAAGCTGGTTCGTCAGAGGTTGTTGCCAGCCCCCGGTACGGATCAGGCTTAGATCGGCTCATGACCCCACTCCGTGTCTGACTTGCGCCCATGGCGCGCGGGGGTCTTGCGTGCTACTAATCGACGACATTTCAGACGATGGAACGATTGTGATAAGCCGGCCTGGCTGGGATGGAAAGACCAAACCTAAAAACAACAGAGCGCGAAGACGACTCGAGTGCTCGTGTCGTATCTCTCCTGTGCGCCAAGATACAGCAACCACCGAGCCGGGCGTACATCTCACAGCAGCATGTCGTGTCGCACAGCAGAGTCGCTGTGCCCGTTTCTCCACCAGCTCCCCCTCGAGATGCGATTGGAAATCTACAGGTACCTCCTCGTGCACCCGCCTCTGACGCGCAACCTCCTCGGCGCGCACTCGTCGCGGCCGCTGCACACGGCCATCCTGGCGGCCTGCCGTCAGACGCACGCCGAGGCGGTCGGCATTCTGTATGGGGAAAACACCTTTCTCGCCCACCAGACGATGCTCACGTCGTTCCCCCGGCTCCGCGTGGGGTATCCGCCGGTCAGGGAGGCGGCGGCGGCGGCGCGCATACGGCGTTATCACATGCGCGTGCGGCTCGACTGCGACGCGGCCTACGACAGGGAGGCTCTGGCGCGGGCGTTTGCGGACGTCGACGAGCTGACGCTCGAGGTTTGGCAGGCTGCCTTCCTCGGCGCGGATCACGGCGTGCTCACGCTGTTCGAGGGCGTCCGGGGCGTCGGGCGCGTGAGGATCTACGGCAGCACGACGGGGTTTGAGGACTATGTTCAGTGGCTTCGTCGCGTCATGGAGAGCCATGACACACGCGGGTGCTTGGCGTGGTGAGCCTTGGGCCATGGGATACCATCGTGACGGGCGGTATCATGCGTCTCCTTGGAGAGGGTCCTTACCTACCTACCTAGGGACCTACCTAGGGACCTACCTAGGGACCTACCTAGGGACCTAGGCGCCTGGTAGGGACCTTAGGTACCTACCACCTGAGTAGTAGGTCGGTTGTAGGTACCACCAGTATGGAGAAAGCGGGGCGGCCTCGACCTCCATACTGGCCCCGTTAAGTACTCGTCTCCAGCCTCCAAACACGTCAAAGCAACACGCACTACCAATCGGCTCCCTGGTCTGATCGGCGCTCGCAGAAGCACAACTCGGCTCCAGCTCCAGATCAGCTACCCTTACACACTGCCTGTACTCGACCCCGACCCCTCCTTGGCGCCGGTCCCTGCATCACGTCGCATTTTGGTCGAACGCCGCAGCCATGGTTGGAGACGGCTTCCTCGTCGTCGTCTCCCAGCTGTTCGGCTGGGTCTACTTCCTCTGCTGGTCGGCATCGTTCTATCCGCAGTCCATCCTGAACTATCGTAGGAAAACGACTGCTGGAACTACGGTTGATTTTCCGCTCATCAACTGCCTGGGTATGCACGCACCTCACCTCACGCCTGTCTTGTGTTGTTGTCTTGCTCGTAAGGACAGTTCGCGCGGCCTCGGGGCACGCGCCGTGACGAACCTTGGCTGACGGACCCCTTCTGCAACGACAGGTTTCCTCGCCTACTTTGTTTCCAACGCAGCGCTCTTCTATTCGCCCGTCGTCCGTCAGCAGTACGCGGCACGAAACCATGGCCTACACCCGACCGTCGCCTTCAACGACATAACCTTTGCGGCGCACGGCTTCATCCTCTCCGTCGTCACGACGAGCCAGTACTGGCCCAAGGTTTGGGGCTTTACCCCCAGCCCAGGCAACCGCCCCAGCCGCTTCATCCTCGGCATCGCCTTTGGCTGCATTGTCGGCGTCGCGTCCGTCTCGCTCATCGTCGCCTCTGCCCAGCCCGGCGACCCGCAATACGCCTGGTGTGCGCTCGACGTTGTCTATGCCGTGTCCTACGTCAAGCTTGTCGTTACTCTCATCAAATACACGCCCCAGGTCGTCACCAACTACCGGAACAAGTCGACCAAGGGCTGGTCCATCCTGCAGATCCTCCTGGACTTTGTCGGCGGCCTCCTGTCCTGCTCTCAGCAGGGCATCGATTCGTACCTGCAGCGCGACTGGTCTGGCATCACTGGCAACCCCGTCAAGTTTGCCCTCGGCAACGTATCCATGATCTACGACCTGATTTTCATGACACAGCATTATGTGCTCTATCGTGTGCCAGCCAGCAAGTCGGCAGAAAGATCTGCCCTGCTGCAGGGCGACGAGGAACACCAAAGGCTGGACTAGCGTGAATACCCGTGCTTCAGGGCGTGAGAATTTGGCATATCAGTTGGGGACGGCGGACCGTAGTGCTACTCCGATCTTCTCCCATCTACATACATCACCATTGCATGGACATTCAGCCAGCTCAAGTCATATACCACTGCGCTGCTCGCCCGCTCTCCGCATCGCGAAAACTCGCCTTCAGAGGTACTGTCCTTAGGATTGACGAGCGCTTTTATCCGTGTACTTGTTGCCCCATTGATCCAACCCTGTGTCGTTCATTCAAGGTCGTTGACGACGTGGCGGTCGGTAAACAGCGCTGGACGCAGCGTTGTCTTTCTTGGCCTCGAGCGATAGCCTGAAGACCAAGTTCCTTGATCGGCGGCCGTAGAAAGTGGCATGATGGTGACATGAGACTTATGTTTGTGAGCAATCATCTTCCTCCTGACGATGAATGTCAGCATGTGGCGGACATCACACTTGCCCTCGACTGGGGCGGGCACACATGCGGCTGGCTGTGCGCCAGATGTTACAAGTAACGTCGCCGTCTGAACTGCTGAGTGCTGAACCCGGCGGAAGTATCAAGGTTCGAATCATCGGCCCTTCTGCACGCCCCGCCTGTATTTCCAGGACATAGCCTTCATCCGACTGAATCCATGTGTTGGGCTTGTGCTCTTGTGCCTGTGGCAATGGCCACAGCCGAATGTGATGCGGTTGGCGTGGGCTGGGGTGCCACATCATTCTGCGTCGATGAAGTCAAATAGTGCCAACAAATGAAAAGCTGTTGTCTATCCGTCCTCACGCCCGTGGCGTCGTTCTCCAGAGGGCTTCTTCTTCGGAAGATGGCAACTAATTGTCGTGTTGTTCTTCTACCAGTCCCGACTGGGAATACCTGGTGCCCATGTACGAAAAACGACGATGGTCTCTCGAAGCCAGGGAGGAGGTTGACATCGTTACATGGCGCCATAGCACGCAGCCACCGCCACAGCATGCTCCCCACGATAGGTAGCTCACCTGCGTTCACGCAAGGTATGTAAAGTATATATATGCAGCATTGAAAACTCACCCTAGCGCAGTCATGCCTGCACCTCCCTCGCCAGCGTGAAGTGTCCCTCCGCCTTTCACAAACAAATACCCAATGCTGGCACTTGACATCCTAAAACTTCCACACCACGAGCGCTTCACAAAAGCAGTGAAGTGACATTCTATGGTGTGCCAATCTTCGGCCCATCGCATTAGGATGGGTTTGGCCGATGTCAGGTATAGCATCGCTCTTTCCTTCTATCTAATACGGCCCTTGGTATATTCCATGTTAGAGGTCGCTCCCGCCTAGGACGCACCACCCTCTCACCCGCCCCTGCACCCCCTGCGAGGCTCTCAAAGACCTGCTCCGGTGCTCTGCCGTTCGCCAAGGTCCATCACGCGCTTCTTTTGCGACTGTCTGGATCAGGATGCCGTGTTGCCTGACATTTCTCTCCTACGGAGGCTGCGACCACAAGCAGCTGTGGAAGATACACTGCACCAGCGACTGCAGTTCCGTCATCTGCGCGTCCTCCGAGCAGGAGGTCATGGCCCAGATACACTACAAGTGGCGTTGCGAGGAGTGTCACATGCGGCACTGGGACACGAACGAGCGCCGGCGCGCAGAGAGGGCCGAGGACGACGAGCGGGCCATCCTCCAGGACCTCGACCTGCCCGACCAACAGAAGAACCTGTTCCTGGACAGCTACCGATCCAGGGAGGACTGGGTGGACCGGCGCGTGGAGAAGTCGCGGACCGAACAGGTCGAGGAGATACAGTGGGTGGCCGAGTTCGCCGAGGAATACGGAAGAATCATGTGGGCGCTCAAGTACGGACCCGAGGACGACCTGCCACGCCTGCACAAGCGGAAGGACTACCTTCTCGACGTCAAGTTCTGGGACGTGACCATCGTCAGCGACATTGGCGGCGAGGACAGCGTGACCACGCGCAGCAGAGCCAGTAGTGCGACTCTGGTCGACGAGTCTTGCGCCGGCACGCTGGACGACCAGCCCACCGTGAAGGAGCAGCTCGCTCTGAAGCAGCATCCGGCCAATTTCTACCACGCTGATCCAGGCATCGTGTCAGAGGCTCAAGCTCCATTTGAGGCACACCAGGCGGCAGCGGGCGCCTGATGGGGAGGGCTTCATCAACAAATCAGCCGTGGTGGTGTGGCCCGTCGACGTCTCGCGCAGGACTGCCAATGGGGGTGCAGTTCTTATGCCCTCAACTATCAATGCTGGCTAGAATTCCACTCAGCACAAGTCGCACTTTTCATCACGCGGGCTTGGCAGACGATGACGCACGCGGGAGGATCCGTCTTATAGAGATCCGAGAATCGAACAATGGGATGTCGGCTGCACAGCGAGAGAACGCGAGAACAGTATACCATTGTGAGCATCATGCTGCAGCAGCAGATTGGGACCGCCGATAGTCACACTCAGCTTGCGTTGCGAGCACAACCATTACGCACCTTGTTATAGTGACTCAGGTAGCCCATCGTGAGCGGGTCAAACACCGTTACAGACGACTTAGATTTCAGCAAGACCTATTTTTCCCACGTAGCGAGGCTGGCCGCCGAGACGTTGGCCAGGAGATAATCATCTCTGAGAGCAAGGCAGACATAGTGTGAAGCTCAGTCATTGCGCAATGCCGTCAAATCCATGCCTTGGAATCAGGTTCGCCCACCTGTCTCACACCTTAAGGATGCAGGCTGGAGTCTTTCAACAGCTTCAACCGCCCACTTCCACAGACCTTCGAGGCTGGTCAACCACGGAGTAAGGAAGAGTAACAGTGTTCCATGGGCGCGGTGGCAAGGACCCCAGCAGAGGGCATTCGGATGAACGGCAGCCCACGACATCGTTTCGCCAAGGATCAAATCGCGACTCACACCAAATAGGTGATAACATATATGTATCACCACGTTGAAGTAGGTATCAAGGCGAACCATCACAGTTCACTTCAGGATTAAGTCATCTCTGTAGCAAGCAAATCCGCCCGCTAGACACTTGGCATTTTCAAGCCCCCAAGACCCAAGCACCGAAGACCAACGTACTAGTTCATCGTCAGTTCTGGAAAGAACCTTGACAGCTTATTAGGATGCCCGATTCCCTGACCCGGCTGTTCTGCTGTATCGGAGTCACTGTCCACTTCTGTCGGCGCTTGCTCAGAGACGTCCAATGTCTTGCGTTTCACCTTGATATTGCCCTGCACTTGTGGCCGTGATGTGTTACTTTGGCTGCTGGACAACGTCAGGATGGACCGCGCGTCGCTCGGTGTAGATGCTTCGTGAAGGCCACTCGCAGGCCTGGTCTTGCCTGAGGCACTGACGGAGTCGCTCTTCCGAGTAACGCCCAGAGGAACCGCGGGGCCTAGCATCGCCTTCCTCTGTGCTTCGGGGTTCGGGGCCAGGGCAGAAACAGAAGGGCTCAGGTGTGCCGAGGCTTTTTCATTGGCGGTCAGACCCTTAGCTTGGACGAACGCGCTGGAACGGACGTGGTAGGGACTCCGGTCGAAATATTCGTCGACAATGGGGTGCACCATCACAGTCTGGTTGTGTATGGTGAGCACCGAATTGGTCGGCACATTCACCCAGTTCTCTGGTAGTGCCGTGTCAGTAAGCAGAGCCAACAGAAAGGGGAGGGTCAAATACCCCTTTCGAAGGTCAAGGGCTCGCTGGCAACCAAGACAATGTCAGCGCCTTTGTCTCGACGTTCCATCTGGTAGTTCCTGTCATCTGGGGAGCTTGTGCGTTTCTCCCACTCTGTCCCAGAGGAATAGTACAAGCTGGCAGCTTCGTCCGTGGCGCTGCTGATGTACCGAGTGCATATGATGCTGTGACCATCGCTGACGGCGAAGTTAAGGAGGCTCCGGGTGTCGACGTTCTCAGCCTGAATGACACTGTCCGGGATTTGGTCGATCAGCTCGTTGATCAGCGCAATCGTCTTCAGCATGGCTTTTCTCAAGACGGTCGGCCCAAAACCGCCATGCGGTTGCGAGCTCGGGTCGTGACCCATCCTCTGCAGGGTGTCAAGGAACAGTGCAAACGCCCATTCGCTGTCGGTCCCTCCGCAAACACCCAAGTACCATTTATCTGCTAGTCTTTCTGCGAGCCTTCTCTTGATATGCTTCCAGCCGCCGAGGCCACCGTTGTGCATCCACATCAGGCTGCCATGGCAGAACGGGTGGCAGTTGTCCTCGCTGAGCGAACCCTCGGTGGTAGCGCGTACGTGGGCAAAGACCAGGCGTGAAGCTGTCTTTGAGGCAATCCGTTGAAGGTTGGTGCAGTTCCAGGCAGGTATCGTCGAAGTGAAGAGACACGGGGCCTGGCCGAGCTTGGGATCGGTGTACCACCCAATGCCAAAGCCATCGGCATTGTTCTGTCCGCGTCGAGTATCCTGTTACGATCGCGCGGTCAGAAACTGGGAGCATATTCAGGAGGTGAAAGGTAGCCCTACTAGTCGTAGACGGGAGTCGAATGACTGTTTCAGGATCGAGTGGGTTGGATCGAGGATCAACTTTGAGAGGAGGATCTCGTCGCTGCCGCGATACATCTGATTGGGCCCTGTCAGCCAGAGTCTCTCGTTGAGCGGTCGCCGGACAGAACTCTGCTTCTTACCAAGAACCGGCACATCGCGGGGAAGGGAAAGGTGTTGTTGTGCTAATTTGAGGCACCGTCGAGCTGGGATGACAGTTTGAGCACACTGCTCCGCAAGTCGTAGGTCTAAGTTAAGCAACGTGTGAGATGGGAAGGACCTTCAGGATTCGTGTTGTGCTATGAAGGGAGTTTGTCGTGTGTAATATGCCAACACTCGTCGTCAATCCTGTGCGAATGGCGCAATCAAGTGGCATAGGAACGGAGCGTGGCACAGTGGCAACAAAGATCAACGGGCAGGGTCGGCGGTCTAGAGTGCCCCCGGTCCTGGTGGGAAAAGTATCGAGACAAGACACACACAGGACCATGCGCAAGGTGCCTTAGGGAACTGGGTTTGATGCTTGGAGAGGTTGAACAGGATGAGTCAATGCGTGCTACGCTTTCAATGGCCATGCCTATCACAACGTTGAAGGGCGGCGGCGATATGGAGTAGTTAGTGCAACAAGCGGGCCGCCTTGCATGCCTGGTACTGCGTCAGAAGTTGCCCAAGCTGTGCAGCTGCCTGTCCAATAGTCCGAGGTCGAACGGAGTGGCGCCACACCAGCAACAAGGCAGCCAACCCACTATTATGGTGGGTTAAGTGCCTTCGGTACCTTATGGCAAGTGGGACGTGCCTGATGCCAGGTCCACCGCCGCGATCCTGGAGTACAGCAATGACGAGCCTCGTACGTGCAGGGCCTGTCTCATTTGCATGATCCGAGAACCGACGACATTTCCCCCTCTGCCGCCACCAGCAACGACGCCATAGACAACATTGTCAACATCCACCACTTTGGCCGCTTTTTTCACCCCCCTGGATCCTTAGCCTCCTGCATGCCACAAACACACACGACGTGCAACGCTCTACCGGCAGCATGAGCGGACGGCTCCTTGCCACAGGGCTGTCGCCTTTGACGCGACGCGCCGCCATACAGACGGTTCGACAATATCATCGTCTCCCAGCGGGTGGGTTGCTTCGCGCCGATGCCGCGGTCCGAGCGACACGCCGGCGCATGTGGTTCTCAGGCAACGCTTTTCACAATGCCGTCATTGTTCGCAATGCCTCCTTCGCCCGCTTCCTCCCCAAGCTCGTTGTCAAGTTTGCCCGCATCCCTGCCATGTTTGGTGGCCTCGCCATCGGCACATTTGCATGGGTCCAATATCAGGCTACGCGTATGTATATACCCTGCATTCGCTCGTCATTGCAGCCGTCACTTGGTTGTTTCCTTCGCTAATGTTATCTGGCAGAACTAAGCAACAATGCGTGGGACTTGGCAACCAGGACTGCCGATGGTGTATCTGAGACAGCAACCAGTTTATTTGGAAGCGCAAAAGACATCGTCGACCAAACCAAGCGCGGCTGGGAGAACACGGTAGATCAATTTGAGACTCCGCAGTGGCTACAAAAAGTACTCCGAATCCACGAAGATATAGGCACGGGACAAGATGGCGGCAGTTCTGGTGGACCGGGAGGAGAGCCGCCACACAAGAGCAGAGCCGGAGCTGCCGTTGCTGTCGGAGCCTCCGCAGCTGCTTATGGCTACGACAAGACCGAAGAAGAAGACCCGCGAGACCCTGGCGAGCCGCCAAGGATGACCAGATGATGCTCCTGACGAAGAAGATGATTGAGATCCGAAACATGCTACAAAAGGTCGGGCAGTCAAGCACGCTGACCCTGCCCTCCATTGTCGTCATCGGATCACAGTCCTCTGGCAAGAGCTCAGTCCTCGAAGCCCTCGTTGGACACGAATTCCTACCAAAAGGCTCTAATATGGTCACTCGGCGGCCAATAGAACTCACCCTTGTCAACACTCCGGATTCCGCTGCCGAGTATGGCGAGTTTCCCGATCTTGGTCTTCGACGCATCACGGACTTTTCGTCCATTCAAAGGACATTGACAGAGCTCAATCTAGCTGTCCCCGACTCACAGTGCGTTTCCGACGACCCTATCCACCTCACGGTCTACTCCCCCCATGTGCCAGATCTCTCCTTAATAGACTTGCCTGGCTACATCCAGGTGGTTGGCCATGATCAACCTTTGGAGCTGAAGCAGAGGATATCAGAACTATGCGACAAGTACATTCAAGCCCCGAATGTCATCCTCGCCATCTCTGCTGCTGATGTCGATCTGGCCAACTCCACCGCGCTTCGCGCCAGTCGCCGGGTAGACCCAAGGGGTGAGCGCACCATTGGTGTCATCACCAAGATGGATCTTGTCGAAGCCTCCCGCGGCGCCGCGATACTAACAGACAAGCAATACCCCCTTCGCCTAGGCTATGTCGGCGTCGTGTCGAAAGCTCCTCAAGCCACCGGCCTGTTTCGTGCGGGTCCAAGTAACCTTCAATCAGCTATCTCCAAAAACGAGAATGCCTTCTTCTCTTCTCATCCTCTAGAGTTCGGGGAAGACGGTGGTCTTAGCGTGGGTACTGTGACGCTGAGGAAGAAACTCATGACTGTTCTGGAGCAGACCATGTCTGCCAGCCTGCAGACCACGAGCGATGCCATCCGGCAGGAGCTGGAAGAAGCCACCTATGAATTTAAGGTCCAGTACAACGACAGGCCTCTGTCAGCCGAATCATACTTGGCCGAGAGCCTCGACGCTTTCAAGCATTCCTTCAAGCAGTTTTCGGAAAGTTTCGGCAGAACACAAATGCACGAAGTCCTCAAACGCGAATTGGACCAAAAGGTTCTTGACCTGCTGGCCGCTCGGTACTGGAACAAGCCTATTACAGATCTTTCTCCCGCACGCCTGGAGCCTGACAGTCTGGCCGACCTTCCCAAGGCAGATGCCAACTCTCTATACTGGCGCCGTCAACTTGATGCATCCACCTCTGCGCTCACCAAGCTGGGCGTTGGCCGTCTAGGCACGACTGTTGTGGCGTCATCTCTTCAATCTCAGATAGATCGCCTTATTGGCAAGTCGTCTTTTGCCAGCCACCCATTTGCGCGACAAGCCATCTCCGAGGCCGCAGCAACTATTCTGAATGAGCGCTTCTACAGCACGAGTGACCAGGTGGAGAACAGCATCAAACCTTTCAAGTTCGATATCGACATTGAGGAGCGAGAATGGAGCAAAGGGAGAGAGCATGCAGGCATCGTGCTGAAGACTGAACTTGAGGATTGCGAAACAGCCCTCAAGGGAATTGAGAATACTGTGGGCGGTAGGAGGAAACTCAAAGAGGTCATGGCTTTCGTGGACAAGGCGCGGAAAGGAGACATTGTCGTGGAAGGAGATGGGCGTAGCGGTGCAGGAGGCTTCAGTGCAGCTCTACTCGCTAAAGGTACGTCTGACTTGCTCCTATCAACAAATAACGTATGATGGCTGACGAAGATCCAACAGGGCGGGAGGCTGCCTTCTTGCGGGATCGCGCAGACATCATCAAGATGCGCCTCATGGCAGTCAAGTCGAAACAGTGCGCCGACTTGAAAAACAAGTACTACTGCCCGGAAGTATTCCTTGATGCTGTAGCGACAAAGCTCGCGTCGACGGCAGTCCTCTTCCTTAACGTCGAGCTTCTGTCCGAGTTTTACTACAACTTCCCTCGAGAGCTAGACCTCCGACTCGGAAGACACTTGAGTGACGAGCAGATCGAGCAATTCGCTCGTGAAGATCCCAAGATCAAACATCACCTGGAAGTGATTCAGCGCAAGGAATTGCTCGAGCTCGTCCTCGATAAGATGGAGAGTTTGAGACAGATGGAAGGCCGTGAGCGAGAGAGGAAGCTGGGAGGGAAAAGGGAGGAGAAGGAGAAGGAAAGGGGGCGATGGGGTCTCTTCTAAGAAGATCTCGTCATGCCGTTACGGAATGCGGCAGCACATACGCTACAGGCGTTTAAGGGTGTTCATGGAGTCTTTGGACGTCGTGGTGGTGGGTGGTGATTGAAAGTCCGTCACCCCCTTAGCCCAAAACAGCGCGGGTTTGTTTCCTACAAAGGGGTTACAAGATTGGTCGGTTTTCTGCGTAGCCTTGGCAGGTTTTCCTGCGATTTCGCGAACGATCAATGTTTACTAAGGCATATGGATACCCTGCTCGATTCTTATTTATTCTTGTCATGACACTGAGCGTTCGAGCCCGTCCAACTCGGTGCGTGGGAATGTGTGCGTACCACCAGGCACCATCTTGTTCTGCGATCCAACACCACCAAGATTTAATTCGGGTCGATGCTGGTCTGGACGGTTACCTCCCATCGCAAACTGGAGCCCCGCCCATAACCCTCACCGAGACGGTTCTGGATGAGCGACGAAATACGACTTCGCAGCTTACTGATGGTTCCTTCATCGCATCCCCTCGGAACGGAAATCTTTAGATTGGCCATGCACAGTCCGTAGTGTACTTGCCAAAATTGTGCCTCGTCGACTCGTGTGATGTTCGGCTCCGCCTCAATCTCCTTCATGACGGAAGAAACACCGTCCGTGCTCTTGGTGCCGCGATAGGCCATGAGCAGCATAGAGGCTTGAGCTGTACCAAGCTGAGCACCGAAGACGAACATGGCGCATGCGATGGCAGCGCACAGCGTCCGATCCCAGAAGATGGGATCTCCTGGTAGCAGCGGCAAGAGGAGTACCAAGGTCGAGAAGAAAATGGTCAAGACGTGGAAGACGTTGCTAAAATGGTGGGAGATCACAGACAGCCATGAGGCGCGCATAATCCTGGCGATTCGTGCGTGGTTTTTGACCCAATAAGTCGAGACCAGCGTACTAATGATTGCTGCACAAGCAACCCACTCAACCTCGCCCGTAGGGACGTAGTCGTGACTGTGGTCGTGATGCGGTTCATGGCCGCCTTTGCTCTCGAGCCAGTGCTTCAGGCCATGGGACACCAGATCGAAACCTCCAAAAAGAAGGAAAATGGACATGGCGAAGCCCGCGATAACCTCTGCGCGCTCGAGCCCAAAGGGATGACGAATGCTGCTTCGGCGCCAGACCTCAAAGTTGCCCAACACATCGAC